AGAGAGAGAGAGAGAGAGAGAGAGAGAGAGAGAGAGAGAGAGAGAGAGTTGGGTCGCAGTTATTCGTGGCGCGCATAAACGATACGGTTTCGCTCGAAAGGTAAACAAAAGGGAGCTGAAACGGACGCGTTAATTAGAGAGAGGAGATCGATATCTTTTGTAAAGAGGCGATAAAACGCGAGACTAACCGCGAGACAGGCGGACACATCACCAACTTGGTATAACTCGTTTACTAAAATTAATTTAACGAGTGTTAATTATCACCTGCCTGTTTTGCCCCTTGGCAACATTTATATATACATGTTATATACGTTTTTTATATTTAACTTAATTCAACACCGAGGTCACAATCATTTTTTTCTACATGATTTTCTATAAAAAAAAAACATGACACTGTCATCCCCCTAAGGTAATTTTACTCGATTAATTTTATGAAATGAAAGGTCAGAAAATTTTCTTCAATTAAAAAGTTTAATTGAATTTAATAATCCTCCCAACGAAATATCAATTTAAATTTCACATTCATAAAATATATATGAGACAGGATACATTTCATTAATTTCCTTTCGTTCTAGATTTCATTTGAAAATCAATTGATCGTGCTATTATCCAAATATGCGTACTCGATCAACGAGCGCTTTTTCTTCCGGGCGTGTGTGAGCGTGTTGGAACGTTCCGCTACCTCCTACAGGATGAGATACGAATCTGCCAGAGCACGCGAGACACTGTTTCGTGCAACTCGATAAATATTGTCTGTATATGCCGTGTTTCTTCCTGCCGCTGCCGCTGTAAACCGGAGCGTGACGCTTGCCGAACGAACGTTTCGAACTCGACAAATGGCCCGTTAATTTACTCTTCCGTCTTGGTTCGAAAAAAATCACTAGAGTTCGCGAACCATCGTGTGTACTACATTACAAGTATAGTTATATAGATGCAGGCCAATGAAACGACGATTTGCAGAATTTTTTAAAGTGTGGGTGTCGCATAACCTAACCTAACCTAAAACTTTTTTTTTCGCCCAAAGGGCTCGAACCCTGGACCCTCAAATTAAGAGTCTGATGCTCTACTGACTAAGCTATCCCAACCTACATAACCTAACCTAAATTTGAAGTCGAAGAAATTTTCTGGACGTGCAATGTCAAAGAGAATTATTTTCGAATAAATTTCCTTTATGATTTATAATTAAAGTAAATTCGTTTCAATTCGTAGTTTATATACCCAGGGTCGCGAAAATATTTGCTTGATTAAAGAAGGTACCCAACGTGGGAAAGTTTGATCCTGCACCAGTGGACACGATTATGGGACAACTTTGCTAAACTCACTGATGCAAATCTGTGATTTTCATTACATTTGTTGCAAACGATACTACGTAGAAATCAAAATTTATCTAATTCAAAAGTGAAACTGTTACTTTATTGTTATATTTATCATAGTTATTTAGCAGTACCTAAGAAATAAAATAAAATTGCACAACGTAGTATTGTTTGCAACAAATTAAAACTATTGCACCACGAATTTTGCAAAGTGTCCCATCATTCTGTCCACTAATGTACCAGTCGATTCGTAGCCAGCCCACTTTTTTTTCTTTCACACTCTCGTCACGAACTATGAAATTCAGTTTGCAACGCGCGCGTTCTGCAACAATGGACGGCAGGCGACGCGATCGTTCGTAATAATTGAAGTGGGAATGGAAAGAGGGAGAAGGAGGAGGGAGTGCAGCCAGCACGACACAACACGGAAAATCCGCGAGTTTTTTCAGTTTTCTCGGCTCTCAATTTTTGTTCGACCCTCGCCATTAGCTTGCTGACACAACCGTAATCGGACGCTCGGTTTCTCCGTCGTTCGTACAGCCGCGCAGCGTTCAAACTATATAGAGAGAAAAAAAAAAACAAAAAAAAAAGAAAAAAAATTAGTTGTTTGCGAAATGAAACACGCGAGATAG